ACGTGACCTTCATTAATCCTCACTTATCTTCCCTGAATAACACGAGGTCTGACTTTAACATAATGACACTAGATGAACATTAAAACAGAGACTGTTGCTGTTTGTGTAACTGGTGAAGTTTATCCACCTTAAGCTCACGGATCGTGTCGGTGTCCGTCAGCAGTTTATTCACAATCCCACTGAGATCAGGACTCAGAGTCTCAGTATTTCACCAACATGGAAGAGGATCCTCTTCTCAGTCCAGCTCTGCCTCAAAATAAAAATATAGAGACACTGCAGCTGAAAAAGACAATAATGTCCACATTTCCCTGAAGCGTCACTCACAGTAAGGAAGTTTAAAGATGACGCTCATCTAAACACGTGACTGTGGCTCTAACGATGCGTTCAGGTGAGTCTTCTTTTTAGTCATTTCTCTAAAACAAACTTCAGATAGAGACAGACTGGGAGACACCGAGATGTGTCTCATTTCTGACTGAATTTAGAAGACAGAAGAAAACAGGCTTCACTGGACATCAGTCAAACGAAGGTAAAGGCTGACACCTAGTGGAGGAAACAGCACATTACACTGTTTCTACACTGACTTCATCCTCAGTATCATCAGGATGACATTTGTCAGAGATTATAAAAATGAAAAACAATTACTAATTATTAATTACTTTGTCGACAACATGTCAGAAAATATTCATTCCCAGTCCAACGTCACATCTCCAAATGTTTTTATGATAGTAAAAAAGAGGAAAGTAGAAATCTTGAGGTTGAACAATAAATCAAAGATACAGTTATTTGACCATTAAGATCAGATATAACCACCGTTTCCTCTACCTGGAGAAAGCCACCAAGAGATACCAGAGAAAATAAAAGCACCTTCCACTTCCTGTTTTGGTTGCGTACTGTCGTAAATCGAGCATTCATTTTTCCACTAAATTTCCCGCCCAGTGGCAGAAAGGATTGTGTAGTTGAAGTGATGCTGATAGGGAACCGGTCTAAACACAGATTGTGTCATTACTCTGCAGCTATTACACGGTCCCGTTAACATTTACTTCAAACAGTTTCACAAAGAAAAGACACATCCAGAGTCCAAACACACAGAGTCATAGAGAACTGTCTGCAGAGACCAGAACCAGGAGTCCAGAACCAGAGATGCTTTTATGTTTCATCTTCCTCTTCATGGAGAGGCATTGTTGTTGCTTTTTAACCAATGATATTTCCCGTTCTAATTTCTGTAATTTACAGCAGCTCTTACAGGAGAAGACTTCACTCTCTGAAGTTCACTAAAACTTCAACTTGAAAATGTACCAAAGAAAAAGTTAAAAACTCAAACTGTCCAACAGAGACAGGTTTATCATGTTAGAGCTGTTCAATAATATTTCCAGTGAACTGTATCTCAGCACACAGTGGTCATATCGTTATGAATCCTGCTCCACACTCACAGGATTTAATGCTGATGGATACATTTATTTAATATTTTCATCTAGATTATTAGATTACTGTATATTTTCAAATCACTGCACACAGTAAGTACCAGGACCACGAAGCATCAAACCAGGTGGTGCCAACACATCCTGCACACCAGTAAAGACCACCCTGGACCATCTGTGTGTAGAAGGCAAACTAACTAAACTGTCAGAAACAACAGAGTCAGTGTCTGTACCTGAAAACCTGGAGGAACTTGATCCTCATCAGTGATGAAGAATCTTCTGACCTCAGTCTCGTCAGGTTTCAGCAGCCTGGAAAAGAGCAGGTGAAGTTTAATGTTGTGTTTAAACAGACCAGTCCAGGTCAGTGAAGGTACTGTCTCCATGTGATATACAATATCATTCTAAAACATTACATGAGGCCCGCTGGCCCAGTCATGGGTCTATGTTCTGACAGAGTAAACACTTTTTACCTGGTTAGATCAGGTAGAGTCTCTAGGATTAAAATATTCACTTCATTTTGTGCTAACCATAAGCACATGAATATGATCTATTAATATGTACCAGAATCGTGTACCAGCGGAGCGTGGTGACTGTCTACCTTTAGGATATGTCAATAACTCCATTTATATTCATATTCCTTTAGTCAGTAAGGGTCCACAGATCACAAACATCAAAAGGGTTCCTTATTAAAGTATTCCAGGTTATTCAACCCCTTCATAAATACACGGGGCAGCTGTGGCTCAGGAGATAGAGCAGCTCTATATAAATACAGTCTATTACATTTATATAGAGGGAGGCCGCTTAATTTACTTTTACTAATCTGATATTACTATATATCATGGTTATTTTTATTATAGCAATGATAATGTACTCATAGTACACCTTATTGTATTAGTGGACCATAAATAATAACAAATAAAATCATAAAAAATTCCACAAGTATCTGTGACTTTCTAACAAAAATCAAACACAAGAGCTGAAGTTTACTTTCGCCTTTAAGTTAAGTTTAATGTAAACTCGAGGCACAAGTTAATTTAATGTTTTCAGTTTAATTAGAAACTTACATTGGACACAGCGCATCCGGAGTCTCCACCACCAGGATCTGATCAGTAGAGTGTATACAAAATGGACGTATGGATCTTTTTAAGTAACTTATTTATGACAATAGAAACTATTTCCGTCATTAATCACAGAAGGAAACAGTTTATATTGTTTATACGCTCAGTTTTAGCTGCGATGAGCTCCGGTTACCTGTTGTTTTTGCTCTGCCATTGCTCTTCCTCTTTCTTGTTCTTCGTTTTTTCGCGGGCTTTCTTTTCCAATGACATTTGACCCGAAACGGTCTGTGACGTGGCGCTCCTCCATTGGCCGATTGTGGTTTGCCCCTTCGCGGCCCCTCACGGGACTCCTCTTGGTCTGCGGACCTCCCTGGTAAAAAGCCTGAAGTGACTGACACACGAGCGAGAAGAAAAAGTCGTTCTGAATCCGGACCGGCCCAGACTGGACCCTTTAGCAGCTCGTAGGGTTCTGCTCTCTGTAAACCAGACCAGTGTCAGCTCCATGGTCGGAGAGGGACAGAAAAACGGGACTTGGCAAAGACTCTGACGGAGCCGGTAAAGTCTTTAAAACCTTTCTGGATGTTTCCGGATCTGAGCCGGTAGTCCTCAGTCCAGTCCACCTGGGCTCCGGTCTCATCTCTGTCTGTGTCTGAAGCCTTTTTACATGAAAACCTGGTTTCTTCGTCATTGGAGAAAATTCTGGAAGGTCACTTTCACCTGAACGCTCCGGTGGGCGGAGCCTGTGTGTTAATAAATTGTTCTCACACATGCACTAACACGCGCTACCAGACCAGCTACCAAAACAAAGAGCAGAGAAATTCAGATGAGGTCACAGACGTGGGCGTGGTTTCCTTCTCTGCTGAGTAGCCATTGGTCCAAAATATCTTTACCTAGAGAAAAGCTGTTTGCTGTTAATGTTTAAAATCTTGTTTACAGAACTATTAATATATCAGATTTTCCCAGAACATCCCAGAAGTACAGTTTATAATTATGACTATTAATGATATAATTCATTATATTAATACTGGCTGGACCCAGATAAGCAGCAGAAAATGGATGGATGGATTAAACAATAAAAAACAATTCAGGTTTTTCCTAAAACTGACAGGAGTCAATGATTTTCCAGCTCCAGCAGCAGTGACAGTGATTGTTACAGGTGTTATGGAGCTGACTGAAACTCCACAAACGGCCTCCTGCACAAGGAAATATTCAGAAAATTACATTCAGTTCATTTTCTGTCACCAATCAATTAACTAATAATTTTAACGTGCTTATATGATCAGCTGTAACACCTCACACAACATGTCTGTGCTATGAATGCACAGACGGATGGATACTTTATTTGTTCATAAGTAAAATGGGAAATGCATGGGCTTTTTTTCATTTCATTTTATTTCACAGAAATCAGAATAAAATACAAGTAAAACATGCAGAGATGATAACAGCAATGGGTGAGATGGAACACACCAATAAACTTCAGAAGCTAGTGAACAGGGGCTTTTTAATAATCCAGTAAATTAAAAGACACGATTTAATCTAAATCAAATCTAAATCTAAGTATGTATTTAAAGGAAACAAAATTAAAGGCTCACGGAGAATGGTGGAGTCATAGGAATGCCATAAAAAAGAATAAATCAGTAAAATAAATAAACAAATGTGGAAATATAAACAGGAATGTATAAAATAAGAAGCGTAAATGTAAAGAGAAATAAATAAGAAAACAAAATGCTTTTACCTTTTGCTTTTTCCCTATTGCTTTCGCTTTTTTGATTCAAAGGAGAGGGGTCCGTCTGCGGACTGCAAGAGGGGTGTGACTGTAAGATGTCCAAATCACACAACACATCAAAACAAAAATGACTGTTTTAAGCCTGTTTCTCTATGATTTCATGAATAATTGCCACTATTGCTCATAAAGAGAAATAACATGATTATAAATGTAAGGTTTCATGAATAATTGCCACCGCTCCAACACACACAAACACTCCGACCAGCTGATTGTAATGAAGCTGCTTGTTGTGTAGGAGCTGCTTTTCAAATTCTATTATTTATTCATGAATTAAGAAAAGTATTTATTAATGGTTTATTTAATGAGAGCTTTATGCTGTTTTTGTAAATCAATTTTTAAATTTGAAGTATTTATTGATGGATCAATCATTCAATTATAACTTCTTTTTACAATAACTATTTTTAATGCCTATTGAAATATGAAATTATGTAAATGCTTTGTTATTTTTCCTGTGACATCCTTGGTCATCCATAGTTTTGTATGTTTGTTTATTGAAAAATTTAATAAAAAATAAAAAAGATAATGCTAAAATGATTAATCAATCATCAGAATTGAACTAACAGATTAAATAATAATTTTTGCTCTAATGTCCTGGTTGGTGTCTGGGAAAATAATAAAACTGACATGTACAGTGGGGGCCCAACTACAAGTTTTTGCCCCTGGCTCCTCAGCAGGTGGACCCCGCCATGCCGCCACCATGTTGTTGGGTGTCGTTTTTCGGTGTCTTGAAATAGAGTCAGAGTGAGACCTCCTGCTCCCGGTGCTCTGACAGCTGTGTGTAACGGAAGACATTTTGAGCTGCTGCGGTCGGTCTGCTCCGTTATTCGAGTGTCAGCCTGAAGTCGGGGCTGACGTGTTGGAGAGTCGGTCTCCAGACTAAGCCGTACTCGGTGAAAAAAGACGCGGTTCAAAGAAAACGGTCGTAGTTTATCGGCGTATGTGTAGCCCAGCTAGCTAGCTTAGCGCCTCAAAAGCTAGCAAAGTCCTAGATGCTAGTTAGTTAGCGTCACCTAGCTGGCCTGCCCTCCTCCTCCTCCTCCTCCTCTTCCTCCTCCTCCTCCTCCTTCTTCACCTCCTCCTCGACAGCCGGTCCCTCACCAGACACAATGGCTTTAAAACGAATTTCCAAGGTAAGACGCCACCATTTATTCCTCATTTAATCAGAATTAGATTAGCCTCCAGCCGATAGCTGTTAGCTTGTTAGCTCACTCGCTAGCTCGTTTTCCACAGCTGCTGTCGATGACACAACGCTTGACATAAAATCGTCTTATTATTGGCTGGGGTTTGGTTTGCGACGCCAGCTTTAAAGAGGCATTTTGAGCTTTTATCCGTGTGTTGTGTTTACATTTACCACCGGTACTTAAAGGCAGGTTTTCGGCTGACACCCTCCACCCCCCTGCAGCGGGTGTGTTAGGCTTCGGATCAAACAATGGTTGAGTTGAGTGACCTGGTGTTAGCTTTAGCTTCAGTCTTTGACAGGCCTTTAACTCTCATATTGTGTTTCGATCACATTCACTGTGGTGAAATAGCTCTGCTGTAAACCCGAAGTTATTCCCTGACACAGTTTCACTCTCAGGCTGAAGTTCCTCTTTCAACTTCACAGCCAATAAGCATTTATGTGTTATATGTATTTATTGTTATTTCCACTATACTGGTCTCAGTGACATGTTGGGCACTGACATGAAAACAGGACTCAAAGTATTAATCCAGTTCCCTCTGACGGTATTAAAAAGTCTTGAATATTTTACCTTTCTGCCACAGACAGTAACATTAGTTCATAAGTAGTGTTGTCTGGAAGCTCTTATTTCTATTCTGTGAATCCATCCATCAGTTTCCTGTTGCTTGTCAATATCCAGACATGGTCAGATTATGAGACAGACAATTTGAAGGTCCCCCGCCCCTCCTACACATGGTCCCAGTCTTGTGTAATGGTTTTGTGTCTCTGTGTGATGGTTTTGATTCTTTCTGTGGTGGTTTTGTGTCTCTGTGTGTTTTCTAATTGAGCTCTGTGACTTTCAAAAAAGAATTAACAGTCGCTTCATACAGAAGCTCTGGCCCTGGGGCCCTCTGACCCCTGGGGGCCCTAAGGCCTGGACAGTAATCCATACATGGGTCCAGGTATTAAGTGTCATTCTCTGGTCTTTAAAAGTCTTAAATGTGGTGAACACTGCAGAAACACTTTGACCAGGAACATTTATTTCCCCAAGTAATTTGGAAAGGTGATTGTAGTTTTTCAAGTTGTCCTCACAAACATTAAAAATTAAAATTCACTAAACTATTGAATGTGACCCAGGGCTTGGTTTATCAGGGCTGCAACTAACAATTGTTTTCCTTATCGATTCATCTGCTGATTGCTTATTTTTTCACATCAACAGTCAAAAACCCAAATATTTAATTTAGTGTCATAAATGCAAATGTCCAGGTCTGAGAAACTTGAACCAGCAGCTGAGTCACTAATTACCAAAATAGCTACACTGGTGGCTGGTTGTCAATTAATCAATAAGTTGATTGACTCAACAGTTTGAGTTCAGTGGTTCCAGCTGCTGCAGTCTGAGGGTTTGCTGCTTCTCTTTGAACTGGTAGTTCACTGAATATATTCTGACTTTGGACCAGACTTAGATTTTGTGACGTTTTATAAACCAACTAATGAATCGATGAATATAAAAATGAAAAGTTGACAGTGGAAGGAGAAGCTGTTTCCAGACTGACATGTTGCCTGATGTCTCAGTATGTCGTCAGGGCAGTTTGAACTGTTTTTCTTGCTGAACCGTTCAGGAGTCACAAGATGATTTCTGTTGTACTTTGTTCAGTATGGAAGCAAAGCTGAATTTTTCAGACACAATTCAGTGAGTAATTAATGTTTTATGGTCTGAAACAAAGTTCAAGTGTACTGAGTTTATGTCAAGTAGTTTCAAACACGGAAAAGCAGAAGTGTAACAGGGTTTAAGTGAAGTTCAACAGCTGCTCTGTGTGAGGAGGACAGGTGTGTTGTGACCTGAAAACACCACAAGCCTGTTTTACTCTGATTCCCAGGATGTGTTTTTAGTGTCCAGACATCACTTTTTATATTTTCACAGCAGAGTCTCATGAAAAGGATCAGGGCTGCAAATAACCAATCTGCAGATTATTTTTCAATTACTCATTTTCTCTACAAAATTCTGCCATCAGTTTCCCACATCCCAAGAAGACGTCTTTAAATGTCTTAGTTGGTCTGACCAGCAGTCCAAAATCCAATGATGTTCAGTTGATGATCATGTGTGACAAAGAAAAGCAGCAAATCCTGACGTTAACAAGTTAGAAACAGCAAATAATTCACATTTTGCTTCAAAAATGACTTGAAAGATTATCAAAATAGCTGCCGATTAATTTTCTGTCAGTGGATTAATTATTACAGTTTTAAAGAGAAAATATTCTTGATTATATTTGTGAATGAACTACTGTTGACTGACTCCTTCCTCAATAGTAACTAGAAATAAAAGTGTGTTCACAACGTCTCCTGCAGACGAAGTTATAACGAAGCAGCGGTGGATCTGAGGATTTTCCAGCAGACATATTTAGGGGAACATGAGTTTGAATTTTCAGTGAATGGATTGAAAAAGCAGTGAAAGTTTTTAAAGACAGCAGTGAGAGTCTGTATGCTCTTAAACCAGAGTAACGTCTGCTCTCCCAGCTGCTTCTGTCACGGTCAGGATCTGAATTCCTGACCGGCCGGATCCTGAAGAGCCTCGCTGCTGCTCGACTGCTTTCTCGCCTCCCAGACTCAGTCAAACCTGAAAGATGAGCCGAGTGTGCCGAGCCTGTATGTCACATACCAACGCACACAGCCAGTTTGGCTTCAGGGAGGCCTGCGGGCTGGAAATACAAACCCCTCGTCCTATAAGCAGCTGTGTGTTTCTCCCCCCGTGGCTATATCCTGATCTGGCCTCTGGACCGCCGCACGACTCGAGGAGTAAAAATAGAGCTGCTGCTTACACATCAGTACTGACCGTGTGTTTTTAATGCTGCGTTCATACAGCAGATAAAACTTCTAAAAGCCGCTGTCGTTTCACTTTGTTTTTCAAAATAAATGTCTCTGTAGAAATGTCTGGCTGAAGTTACAATTATTTCCTTATTAGTCTCAATCAATAAAATGCCCAAGGTGACAAAGCAAAGAGAACCAGCCATTCAGAGACATTTTAAAATATAGAATCATCTATTTTTTTTTTTTTTTTTTTTTTTTTTTTTTTTTTGCTCGTAAAATGACTGAAATGATTAATTGATTATCAGAAATAGTAGTCTGGGATCAGGCGATCAATTGTTGCTGCAAAAAACAGTTCTTTTCATTATTGATTAAGAGAAAATAGAAAAAAAGCACGTTTTAATTACCTAAGCTCACTCTAATCATTATCAATTCATCTTATGAATATTTTTGAGTAATCAATCAATAGATTGAGCTATAGAACATCAGAAAACTGTAAAATTTGACATCACAATCGCAGCTAAATCAGTGATTAGCTTTCTATCAATCAACTCATCAATTAATCGACTAATCACTTCATCTCTATTGAAGTTGTTGGTTGTTTTTTAGGGTTTGAATTCAACGTTTTTTTTAACCTGATTCCGATCTTTTAATGGTAATATTGAGTATCTGCTGATTTTCCGATCAGATTCTCATTGATTAAATGTTTTCTGACATGTTGAAAAACAGCTGTTAAACTGCTGCATGAGCTACTTGACCCAAATACTGAAGGTCCTGATTCAAACCTATGAAGTCGATCAGCCTGAATTATTGATAATATGAATAAAGATTATCTGCGGCAGTCGGCCAGAGAGGCGATGTCTCACTCTGTTGGATTTGTTGGAACCACAGAAACTGTCCAGTCACGACTGTGCAGGTGTTACAGAGTAGAGATGAAATGATTAGCCAATCAATTTGTTGTTTGATAGAAAAGTAAACTGCAGGTGTTATTGATAACCGGAAAACCTGTTTCAGTTAAAGGAACTCATTAATCAACAGATTAACGTTACCACCACAGATACTGAGGCTGCGTCCACACTGATATCTTTTCATTTTGAAACTAAAACCCTCTCCATCCAGACTATCACACCTGAAAATACACGTCACATGACCCTTCACCCACACTATGAGGTGGAACTGTTAGTGACAGTGACAGTATGAGGCCTCATGGCGACGGAAAAAGGGTCACGTGACAGGATTGTGACAAAGAGAAACTGTGTCTGCGTCATCGTTTCTGTCCGTCCAGACTAAAATGCAACCGCAGAGTTTTCCAACTAAAACGTGGTCAGCAGCGTTTCCAAAATAAATCTCATGAGTGGAGTGGACGGCAGGTGTAAATGTGTGTTTTCAAAATAAAAGCCTATTAGTGCAGATGGAGCCTGTGTTGACTGTCGAATTAAACGTCTTCACAGAGGAAGTGGGAGAAGAAACGTCCATTAAACCCAATAAAAGGTCTGTACTGGTTGTTTCAGTTCCATACTTCAGGTCTGTGTTTCTCTGACGTAAACCACTTCTCTAAACCGTCAGTTCCTCCTCTTCAGTCCCGATCACTGACTCTCCTCTCTCACCTGACTCTGATCAGACTGAACCTGTCTCTGAGAAAACACCAAAATGTGTTGCTCACAGCAGCAGATCTGAGGTCAGAGGTGTGTGACACACTTGTGGTCGACCTGCTGCTGCGTCCTACATGTTGTTGTTGTTGTTGTTGTGACTGTGTCTGCTGTACTCCTCCTCCTCCTTTTCTACTCTACATGTAAAGAGACACAGTCATCACAGCCTTCATCGGCCCCGAAGAATCACGTCTGTGGTTCAGTTCTGTAGAAAAACACTGTCACATGTCAGTTTTATCATCAACGCACAGCTTCTGTAAAGTCCTATATTCATCTCTCAGACACCATTAATTGCCTAATTAATAATGACAGAGAATAACTATGTGACCTGCAGCACTCGTTTGTTTTATCCTCTTTTATATTTCTTTTCTTCTCGTTATGTTTCTTGATATGAACCAAAGTAAATTCCTTGTAGGTTGAAAACCAACTTGGCAAAAACTGGTTCTGATCACTGATTATTAATTATCCAATTAAATAGTGTGTGACAGAACCTCCTGAATTTAAGTTTAAATAAAGTGTGTTTCAAGGATAAAATTTACAAATGCTCCTATTGGAGGTTTGTAAATGTTAATATTAAACATTAAATAATGAAAACATACTTTTAAATTCTTTTAAAGATCCTTAATCCGCACTCAAAGAGCTTCCTTCTCTGACGGAGCGACAGTTAAACCCTAACCCTGTTAGATCAGATCAGCTGCTGCTCACTGCAACTGAAGCGTGTGTGTGTGTGTGTGTGTTTGTGTGTGTTTGTGTGTGTTTGTGTGTGTGTGTGTGTGTCTGTCTGTCTATGTGTGTGTGTGTGTGTGTGTGTGTGTGTGTGTGGGAGATGGTGGGTGTGTCAGACGCACCTGCTGCTGATGATTTCACACAGGAAACAAAATGCAAAACAGTGAGGGCAACAGACAAACACAAATATAAAATGTGCAGGTTAAAGTTTCTGTTGTCGCTCAGTCACAGCTGTTTCTCCAGCTGATACAACACAGTTTTTTCAGCTTTTCAGAAGAGACAAATTAGATTTAAAAGTCCATTTAAAGGTGTGATACAGATGTTTGCAGCTGGACAGGTTGTTGTGAGTCGAAGTACAGACGTCACATCTGTTAAAGTGACAGATTCTCTGATTGAAATGACAAACATTGAGTTCACAGACAGATCCATCAGTCAAAGAAACCTGACAATAAATGTGATGTCATCACCCCCCACCCCCCCCCACCCCTCCAGGAGCTGACCGATCTGTCCAGAGATCCTCCGGCTCAGTGCTCGGCCGGGCCCGTCGGTGAAGACAGTGAGATCATCTTAGTTTCCTCTCAGACTCAGTTGATGTTGTTCTGACACAGTGAATGTGCTTCATTAACCTTCCTTTGTTTCTCTCCCTCTTGTCCAGTGTTTCATTGGCAAGCTACTATAATGGGGCCTGTGAGTATCCAACTGCTGTGACATTAAATTCATCATTCACAGATCATGAAGCAGGTTATTGATTTAACACTAAAGATACAACACGTCTTCACTCGTTTATTATTTATTTATTTATTTGGATCTTCATCCGCCACCTCCAAGGCAGCAGCTACTCTTCCTCCACTCCAGTAGAAATTACATCATAATGCAAAACTATGTAAATAAAAATCTAACTAGAAAATAACAAATACAAACAACAGTAAAACTACAATAACAACAACAGTTACTTTATCTAAAGTAAAAGTCAAACAAAAACAATAATACAACTAAACACAGCAGATACAGGGACTGAAGAATAATGAGGTTAAAACATAAAGTTCCTCATTAATGATCATATTCAGATATTATGTTGTAGAACGTCATCACAACAAGTCATTTCACCTTCTCACAAATCATCATATATCCCTGTTTATTGTTATAATAGGAGCTGTAGTGAGCAGTCAGGGTGATCTGTGCTCTCTGTCTTCCTGCTGCAGCCTGACAGTCCCTACCAGGGTGGAGTATTTTTCCTGACTATTCATTTCCCTACAGATTATCCCTTCAAACCACCCAAGGTCAGTGAACGCCTCATCTCACCGCTGTTTGTTCAGTCTTCAGCTGTTTTCGAAGCAGAGACTTTATGTGGGAGTTGCACTCAAATGATTCACATGATAAAATCCTTCGTCCCACCTTCATCCCACCGTGGGACACTTTGGTCTTGCTGCCACTTCAGGTGTTCCTGGTCTGGACCAGATTCGGTCTTCAACCTTGATAACTTCTACATTGTTAGAAAATGTCTACGTCTCCTGATTCTCTGTGTTCAGACCATTTACAACATCTGTCCAGGTGTTTCCCACAAAACTGTCCTGCTGCAGGTTTTAAATTCTGTTTTTTAGGCCAAATAAATAAAAGAGAATTTCCACCATGTTTGTTGCTCTGCAGCTTCGGTTCAGTTTCTTCTCTTCAGTCTGTTTGGTTGTGAAGTCTAAGAGTTTCCTTTCAGAGGAAACCGACCTGAACAGTGACCTTTTTATTTTGGGGTCATCATGTTTGGGATCATGCACAGAAGGGGGGGAGGGGGGGGGTGTTTCCTGGGAAATGGAGAAAACGTTTGTAGGAACACACAGGTCGAGTTCAGCCACTTAAAGAGGCAGTAAAATGTAAAACTTCTGTCACCAGTGAAACATGTTTTACTGTGTTTGTTGTTGTTGTGTTTGTTTGTGATGGATCTGTTGTTTCCTCCATCAGGTCGCCTTCACAACCAGAATCTATCACCCAAATATTAACAGTAACGGCAGCATCTGCTTGGATATATTGAGATCACAGTGGTCTCCAGCATTAACTATCTCAAAAGGTAAGAGACACTGAACATGAGAAATAGTGAAGAGACAGAAGGAAACTAGAGATATTGATATTGATCATGTATGAGTGAGATCAGCTGATGCTGATCATCTTTTGTTTTTCGTTCTAGCAGCAACAAGTATCCTACAGTCAGGACAACTGAATTGTGAATTACATGTGTTCATTTATGTGAATTAACCGACTGAAAAATATTATTAAACCTTTTCAACATGTTAAACAAATAGTCTAATAAATAAAAAGCAACATGTCAGATCATCAACTCAGTTTCATTATTCAAATAAAGAATAAGAGGATTAACAGTCAGCCGCCTTCAGACTGGGAGACTAATGTCCCACGTTCTATCGTCTGTCACTCTGTAAAAGTTCCACACGGCAGACATGTTGTTTTGTTATGGTGGCCTGTCGGTGGGAGGCGGGGCTTCACTACACAGCGCACACACATTTTTTAATGTTAGCTTTGATGTTAATGTCCAGGCAGGTTAATGTGAATGTCTCTACACTGTAAAAAGTGACAGTGACGTTTCCACCCGGAAGATCTGTGACAGAATTTAATCTTAAAGTTGAGCGGAAATATTTCCAGTGTCAGATCATGTGATTAAACAGGTTTGATTCCACATGAATGTGATTCAGACACTGATTGGTTCAGAGGAGTCCGTCATAAAAACATGTTTTTATCTGATGGTTCATGAAGGTCACACTTTAATCATATAGCAGAGTTTTTAGTTGTGACACCTGAATCTCAGACTTTATGAAGGTTGGTTTTATTTAATCATCGTTTTTGTTGAATCTGTTGATTTGTTATTGAGTCATGTTAAAGCTAAATGCTAAAGCTCCTCCCTCTGACATCACTGACCTGCTGTTTCCTCTCCACAGTCCTTTTGTCCATTTGTTCTCTGTTATGTGACCCAAACCCTGACGACCCGCTAGTGCCAGAGATCGCCCGCATCTACAAAACAGACCCTGTTAGGTGAGTCCCACCTGTAGAACAACCTGCAGCTCAGACTCAGTCTCCATCTACACAACACACCAGGGTCCAGATTACAACCCACAGCAGACTTGACCCCCTCCCTCACAGACCTCTGGAACCTTGTGATGTCACAACAAAGCAGTCACCAAGCCCCGCCCACCTGGACCCACCATCCAAACCTTTATAGGATTTGGTTTCTCTGAGTGTTTTTACCTGAAATCTGCTTTATTTTTATTGGATCACTCAGAAAACAGTCAGCCAATCAGAAGAGAGGCTCAGAGCCTCCTCTCTTCTGATTGGCTCACCGACCTGTTGTTACTAGAGCTCCAGAGAGAAGCCTGAGAGAGGAGATGTGAAACTACACTGAGATGGTTTTTATATCTTCTGATGGATCAACACTTCAGATAAAAGACTGTGAAGAATATGAACCTTTGAATTATTAAATAAACAGGATTTTTATCGTTAAGAAACCAACATTTACTTAATTTAATTTGTTAACTTTGTTAACTTTTACGATGGCGCCTGTCACCCCTTGTCTTCATGGAGGAGGTCAAAGGTTAAACAGCAGCAACATGTTGATTCAAGCTGTGGGCCGTCATCAGATCCTCTGAACAGGATGAGGGTGTCACATGTTTAATATTCTCAGTCTCTCCAGTGTTTGGTTCCCAGCTCAGACTAAAGCAGAGGCAGTAGAGAGCAGCAGGTGAACACATGAGCAGAGTGGGGGGGTTGTAACCTCGGTGTCCTCGTTGGTCTCAGGTATAACAGACTAGCCAGGGAGTGGACAGAGAAGTATGCCATGCTGTGAGGGTAAGAGCTGCTGCCTCCAGGAACATGTACCTGAAGCACGCTGACGCAAAGCATGGCTACACACACACACACACACACACACACAACACACACACACACACTCACACACACACACACACACACACACACTCACTCACACTCACACTCTGCTGCTCTGTGTGTTACCTGCATGCAGCACAGCTCAAACCATCAGGCAGAGAAAACACCTGGAGACTCAGGACAGGTGGTTTTTGTCTTAAACTAACCTGAAGCTCCGCTGAGCCTGAGGAGCCTGTTGACCAGACTACAGTCAGTCTTACTGTGTCTCAGCTGTAGTGGTGAATAACCAGGGAACAACAGTAACAGCAGTCACTGTGGAGGTCATACTGCCATGGTGGTTACCATGGTGACGTCAGTTAAAGGTCGACGACCGTGAAACAAACTGGAATAAATCAGAAACTCAGAAACGACAGGTTCATGAAGCTGCTGATGATGATGTCATCGTCCAGGCCATAAGTATGTGGACACAAAATAATAGACATGACATCAAAGAGTGAAGTCTGAGCAGGTTTACATCAGTGTAGATGCACAGAGTCTTTACAGCTGTGACTTCATTCAGTGTGGTATTTATTTATTCATTCATTCATTCAGTCATTAATGAATCTGTTTATTCAGATCTCCATCAGTCAGTAGCAGGTAGCAGCTTCTCTTCCTGCTCCAGTAAACATGATGTCATCATGTAAAACGATGTAAACTATCAAAGAAGAAACAAGAAAAACAATCAGTAAAACAAAGTTGTTTTCCTGAAAAACGCTTCATGATTTTTAAAATGACTCAATCAATTCAAGAACTGTGAAAAACAAGGATGTAATTTGATTAATTATAAAATAATCTCCTTTCTGAAGTATTGTGGGTAACGATGTATTTCCTGTTTCTGTTGGAGAAAGACGACGTCGTCCCAAAGCTCTGGTCTCAGTCACCTGGTCTCAGTCACCTGGTCTCAGTCACCTGGTCTCAGTCACCTGGTCTCAGTCACCTGCTGAAGGATTTTCCTGTGAATATTAAATGTGATTGTGACTGTAAACATGGAGCTCTGTCTGTCACACTCTTGTTTCTACACTGATGTAAACCTGCTCAGACCTTTTAATGTAGAATGTGTTCTTTTATTTCTGAAGAACATGTACCTGTCCACATACTTATGGCCTGAACTGTAAACTGTGTGTGTGTTGAGGCATGGCATCGTCCTGCAGCCTGTCTCCACCTGATGATCCTCACCTGTGTGTTTCTATCTGCAGGTACAACAAGACAGCTCAGGACTGGACCCAGAAATACGCCATGTGATCCTCCCCTCCTCCTCCTCACTGCTGGAATAAACTGTTTGATTTCCTCATGTGGCCACGCCCCCTCTCATCAGACAATAACAGCAATTTGTTCACGTTGTTTTCTCCCCATCCTCAATTTTAACGCTTTTAAATCCTTCCTGCCCCGAAGGGCCGAGGACTCTGAGCTGTGAATGTGCCAACCGCAAAACAAAAACCCCGATCCAGAGCGGGCTCCCTGCAGACCGCCTGAAGACAGACCTGTTACAATAATAAACTGCAGGAGAGAATGAATATATAATAATAATAATAATAATTTAATGCATGTCAGTGATTGGTTCCTGTGCTGCTGAGAACAGATTCTCCTCGTCAGCTTTTCTCTGGTTTGTTCTGTTGTTGTGTTTTTGTTTTTAGAGACGAGCCGTTAGTTCATCCGTCACCTCCACACTGTTCTCCTCTTTTTGCACTGAAGACGAAACTCCAGCTCTCGACGGCTGATCGATCAACTAATCGCTCTGTCCTGTTTTTCTCAATAAAGTCGAACAAATTGCACTTTTCTGTCGCCCTGTTTTTATTCTCATTGATTCATTATTGGAGTTTGATCAGAAATGTTTCATTTCACTGTCTGTCACCTGGAACACCTGGAACACCTGGAAGTAGGCGCCAGTTTTCCAGGCTTGGAAAACACCTGGAAAATGAGAGACAGGTAAAAGATCCTGTTTTAAGTGCTGAAGCTTTCAACCGCAGCTCATGGTCTTCCTCAGCAGATGAATTGGCTCAGTTATCATGGAGATGAAAAAATAATTAGAAAACTGGAAAGATATTTACTGACTGCAGATGAAGACTGAGATGTGGTCGAAAGCTCCAGAAACAGGTCAGACACGTGACAGATCTCAGATCCTAAACTGTTGATGTATATTATTATCATCATTACTATTGATCAACTCTTTAACTTTGAACCTGCTCATGTTTAATATTTATTTACAGAGCAGTAACTGGAGCTGCCGATGCGCTGACATCATGTCTTCTTCTCTGGATAAACAGACGTACAGCAGAGTCTCCAGACCAGCAGGTGGCGCTCTGACCTCAAACTACAGCCAGTTTCAAACCTGCAGGAGGTCAGTGACGTAGAGACGAGTGTCTGAATGAGACCTGGAGCCTGAAGAGACTCGCGCCTCTAATGCACCTCTGCAGTTCAGTGTCAGCTCTTGGGTCGTCACTCACTGCGGTTCGGGGGGGTCCTCATGTTTTCATCAGTTCTGCTGCAGCTCAAAACATTTACTTTTAACTTTATTTTTTATGTTTCACTCGTTAGAAAAGTTTTTTTTCTTCAGACAGAAAAACTCATAAATATGTCGCTGTGGATCAATAAAGTCTCATCTTCACCATCAGTAAAAATAGGCTCTAACCTCCAGCTGCTCAGTGACGTGGACAAACATGAAGATAAAAACAGAAATATTCAGTAACTTGGTTCATTAAAGTCTCAGTGATTAAAACAGACATTTTAATGAAGGTCTCAGTCAAAAATATAAAAAACAAGTTTTATTTAAAAAAACAACCACAGAGCAGTTCAGAGTGATGAACCCACAGTGCTGGGTGGAGACATAAATATCATCTGCTGGACAAGAAACAAGCTTCAGATTCACACAGGAACACACAAACGCCTCACAGCTCTCGACTACATGTCCCACAATGCCTTGGGTAATGTAAAATTTCTCTTTTGGTTTCCCGTCTCTGAGTCAGACGAGCAGATTCATGAAACTGGGCCTTAAAATTTAAAAACACTAAATAGATAAAAGTCACGAACACAAACACTTAAAGGAAAGTTCCAGATGTTTGAATTAATATAAAGTTTCCATATTAAAACCTTAGAAACAGTCTGAACCTCCTCTATGGTGAATTTACCTGTTTACAATCATTTCTGTGTGAATAGCCCCCCCCCCCCCCCGTCTCAACACAAACAAGCTTCAGAATCTAAATCTGATCCAGGACCAGGACCACAGACCAGTTTGTCTACTAGGTGACGTCAGTAGATTCAGGAGGTTGAGCTGGAGCCAGATGTGCGTTCTTTGGTTGAACAGCTGGAGCGTCGTGTGACACACGGTGTTCGTCTGTGACTTTGTCTACACACGTTTCAAACTCGTTTTTCTCTCATCAGTTAAAACTGTTAAAAACTCATGAAGAAGAGACGACGCGTCCTCTGGAGGGCACACGTCCTGATGGAGGGATGCTGATGGTGGTGGGATGAAGGGTGATGGATGGATGAATTGTGCTTCCTCTGTTGAGGTTAGCTGGAGGCGGAGCCATCAGGTCGTTACGCTGTGGAAAGCTCCACCCCGCTGTCGCAGACCCCGCTGTCGATCCGAACGTCCACCTTCAGATCCTGAACCGGAGCACAGAGGGACTCGCCTGCAGAGAGAGACCACAGCTGACTGACTGGTCGTCACAGCGACAGCTAGAAACTCAACAGGTAGAAACAGTCACGTGATCAGCTCACCGGTCGTCTCGTTGGTCGTCGGCATGTCAATGGCGTCGGAGCGACACAGCGCCTCCTCCAGGACACTCAGCGCTCTGCAGTCGCCCACTGACCTGAGACCAGCCAGCAGCTCGCTGACCGTCCCACCTGATACCTGCAGGACAGAGACCAGGGGTCAAAGGGGACGAGGGAGGTCAGGGTCACTAGGTGTGTCTGTGTGTGTGTGTGTTACCTCATAGCTGTCCAGCAGTGTCTTGGCGGGGGAGGGGCTCAGTCTGAAGGCTGTGTTGAGGATCCCGAGACCCAGACTGTGAGCCAGATTTTCCCAGCATCCTTCACTCTCCAGAGCGCGACACATGTCCTGCTTCACCTCCACAACCAGACTCGCCAGGTCGCCTACACACACACACACACACACACACACACACACACACACAGAGTCAGAATCAGGCTTGTTTATTTTCTCTTTTATATTTCTGACTTTTATTTTGAATTTTAATCATAAACTCAAACATTCCTCTTCAGCCTGGCTTTTCATTAAATATGGTTCTTAGTCATTAGACTTTATTTTATTTACTTATTATATTGTCATTATGTTCTAAATTGTATTTTATTCTATTTAATCTATTCTTTTATTATTAATTTTTTCTTTTTAGATCTTTTGTTTCTCATTGTGGCTGAAGCTCTTTGAACTACACTAACCTGTAAAAAAAGTGCTATACACATAAAGTTTGGCTGATTCTTTTTTCAGTGAAGATCAAAGTGTTAAATTCTAAAAGTTGAATAGAATAAAACATCAGTTCAGGACTTTAAGTCTGATGTTTTCCAGTCGACCTCACACAGAGGTCGCAGCAGAACAGAACATGGATGATGAAGAGGAGGATGAAGAAGAGCTCACCTTGCGGGGGGCTGAAGGCTGTGGGCGGAGACTTTGGTTCGTACTCTTTACCATTCAGAAGCTCCAGCACCTGAAACACAGACTCACCATCATCAGCTGCTGTTTGTTTTTTCTTCTTCTGTGTTCTGAAAACCTGAGTTCACCTGTTCTGCCCCCCAGTGGTCAACATGTTAACGCCGCTGTTACAGTCCAACATGACTGTGAACTGAGTTAAATCTGTGTAAGAATGTTTGACTGTGACCACACCCAGCTGTGATGTCACAGGGTCCTGCAGCACTCCTGTACATCACTGCAGCCAGGTGAGACGTTATGACCTGCTGCTGGACCTTTTACTTTCTTGTATGAAGCATCAAGTATAAAAACAATAAAACAAAGGATTTATAGGAACACATCCATTAACATTTTAAAAATAAACGTTTTAATAAACAGATTTATATTCACCCGTTTTCATCAGTCAGGCTCCAAAAACATACAGAGAAGTATAATAAATATTAATATTTGTAATATTTTATGTTTCAAAGTCAAATGAAACTAAACAAGCAGGTAAACACTTCAGGTCTGTTTTTGTCAGAGTCTGACACAAGGTGTGAAGCTGTGCACCTGTGAGGTGGCGGCCATGTTGAGCGGAGTGGTTCCTGGGACATAGCCTTCGTCTTCCTCCTCATCCTCCCTCTCTCCGTCGCAGCACTCGTCCTCTCTGAAGAACAGCGGCTCAAAGTTTTCTTTATGAGGGTCTGCACCTGAGACAGGAGGAGACGGTGTTACACGTGTGTGTGTGTGTGTGTGTGTGTGTGTGTGTGTGTGTGTGTGTGTGTGTGTGTGTGTGTGTTTCCTACCTGCAGCCATCAGCAGAGCGGTCAGTTTGAGGGAGCCCCTCCCTGCAGCGATGTGGAGGGGGGTGGAGCCATTAAAGGTGCAGCAATCCACCTTGGCGTTTCCCTGATGACAGAAACATCACACACACACACACACACACACAGTTACATTTGTCTCCGTGTGGGCGTCAACTAAAGGTGTCAATAATCCGTATGCTTCACTCTGATTGGACAGTCAGTCAGCTGACCTCCAGCAGCAGGCAGCCGGCCAGCGACACATTGTCAGTTTCCGTGGCGAGGTGGAGGGCGGTCCGTCCACAGCTGCGTTCCTGAGCCTCCACATTGGCCCCGCCCTCCAGGAGCTCCCTGAGAGAGGACAGCTGATTGGTCAGGACCGCCAGGTGGATAGCACACAGACCTAGTAACCATGGAAACAGACAAGGAGACAAATCATCAAACATTCGATTTTCCTGTGTGTGTGTGTGTGTGTGTGTGTGTGTGTGTGTGTGTGTGTGTGTGTGTGTGTGTGTGTGAGTACCTGCTGTGTTACTGTGCTCCAGCAGTCCTCTCATGTCTCTGTGTTGTAGTAGAAACTGGACCATCCCTCCTTCCTGCTGGGACGCCAGGTGGAGCGCTGTGTTGCCATGACGATCTGTCAGAGTTGGGTCAGCTCCGGCCAACAGCAGCGCCTCCACTGCCTCCTTTTGCTGGGTGATCACTGCCAGGTGCAAAGGAGTCTGGGAGGAGTCACAGACAGTATACGTTCAGCTCTGGGCAGGTAAATGATCTGCCCATATGCAATAATATATGTAAGTGTGTTGAATTTCCATATATGAAATATATTCACATATGAAGTAAAATCATATACACACATATATGTGTGTGTGTGTATATATATGTAAAAATTACATGTGAAACTTGTTATAAATTGGAACAAAATCATACATTGACATATATTTCTAGATAATAGAAACATGTATTTTAGTATGTCTGTTTATATTATACATGTTACTTATACTTATATATATACTGTATATATACTTATATCCATCCCAAAGCCTGTCAGTATATATTCATATTATATATGTAAATATGAAAGATAGATGTTAAATTTAAATTTAATAAGAAATTATTAAGAAAATCATATACAACCATATATAATTTAAATATAAATAAGTATAATAAGCATGTTGTTTTAAAAAAAGTTGCAGTTTACTGTATTTTAAGTATTTCATATAAGTTATGAACTTATATCTTCACGTATCCAGAGGATGTATATATGTCATAGTAATATATCCTCTATAAGTGACACATATGGTAACAGCACTCTTGATATAGGGACAAATATGTCATATAAATGAAA